GGCTCTGGGCTGATGGCTCGGAGCCTGGAGCCTGTTTCCGATGCAGTGTCTCCCTCTCTCTCTGCCCCTCCCCCGTTCATGCTCTGTCTCTCTCTGTCCCAAAAATAAATAAAAACGTTGAAGAAAAAAAAAATAAAAAAAAAAAATCTTCCATCAGTTAACGGCCCAAGTGTTAGCCGTTATCCAGGCTGCTTCGTTGTCCTACGGCAAGTCCTGCATTAGTTGTGGTGCACAGCTGTAGTGTAGTATAGGGTAACTGTTGTGCTCCCACACACCTGCCACGTGTGTTTACCTGGACACGAGCTATTTTGACCAGTTTGCTTTTAATTTCCAGAGGTTGCTTTGCATAAATCCGCCCCTGTTTGAAATCTATCAAGTCCTGTTAAGTCCCACGCAGCAGCATGTGGCACTCATAGGAATGAAAGGACTTACGGTGTTAGAGCTGCCCAAAAGATGGGGGAAGAATTCTGAATTCGAAGGCGGAAAACTAACAGTGAACTGTAGGTAAGTCCTACGTCCACGGAACGTGTGTCTGTGTCTTCTGTCGTACGCGCGGACAGTTGTTCGAGCCCCGTGGTGGTTAAGGTGCATTTTCTGTGCCACGAATCGAACATCGCGGTGTTCCAGCTGGTCTGCGCCTTGGCTGCCTGCTGTCGCGTCTGTGCTATATGTAAGGTCACGTTTCTTCTGCCCGAACTGTCAAAGCGCTGTCTAATCGGGGTTCCGTTTTCAAGTCAGCATGACGTGTCGAAAGCAGCTAGTGTCTGGGAGTCAGACCGTTTGCTGGTAGTTTGACTGAGTTTAGTTTTGGTGTCTTGTGTTTTTCAACAAATCCAGACAAGCGAGAGTCTGACTCAGATTTGTAGAAAAGAATGCAAGCTAGAAACCCCCCTTTAGCTCCACAGCGCAGAGACCCGGTCCCCGTAAAACGTCCGCTTTCTAAATCCATTTCCTCACTTCCGCAACAGTGATGGTAGTTCCCGAGCAGCTTCTCACAGGGCTCCTGCAGGGGTCAAGTAAGACGTGACACCTAAGGTCACGTATAAGGTCATTTTTAGAAAACACTCTGTACTTTAGAAAATCTTTTTATTTCGGTTCTTACTGATATTGACTGAATAGATGCTTTGCTCTCAGCAAGAGTTGAGAGAAATTTGACGGAAAGGCCCAAGCGGTAGTAAGATAGATTTCCCTGTAGGTTTCCATTCACGTGCTGCAGAACGTTTTAGGGAGCTGTTGTCCTCGCTTTAGCACCACGCCTGTCGCCGAGAGGTTCTTCACCAGCTCGGCCTCCCTGACTCTGAAGCACGCCGCCTGGTACCCGAGTGAGCTGCTGGACCCCCACGTCGTGCTGCTGACCTCGGACAACGTGATCAGGTACGCTCTGTTTCTCTCTCGGAGCTTTGCGAGGGGAGATTCTCTTTCCGCTCGTTGGCTGACAGCTGGGGCTCCGCTGAACGGGTCCCGGGACGGCCGACGGCTCTGCCTCGTGGCCCTTGTGACCAGTGTTCAGGCAGGTCGTCTGAACGCCCTCCCCTGCGTTCCGGAGCCACTGCCGCTCTGTCTTGGCTCGTCCCGTCCGTCTCCTTTACCGGTCTGCTGGTACGTCCCCTCTCAACGTGTCATCTTGGAGGTCGTGTACCCTCGGGAAAAGAATACAAGTGGGAGTTGAGAGATTTGAATTCTTGTCCCAACACCGCCTCTGTCTTCGAGATCCGAAATTCTTTTTAGGGGAGCCTCAGTTTCCAATCTTGTAAAACGAGCAGGTTCGATCTGACAGCTTCTAAACGCCCCTCCGGGGTTTGAACTCTACGATCACATGCCCCAGTCTTCCAGAGATTTCTATAACGTTCCCAGTTAACTTTCTGGATCTGCCTCATGTGAAACATTTACTGGGGAGGCCCAGCTGATGGGTCCCTGCGGTTTCATTTTTCCTAATCACCGTTTTTAGCTGTGCCTTATCAGCCTTTCCTTCCCTGCTGAATGGTTGATCCCTTTCTGGCCTCTTAGATCTCAGAGCTTTCCGGTCACTTTTAGTTAGTAAAACTTGGTCTGTCCAGTTTAAAACTCTGATGTTCGGTCCACATCAGCAGCGTGTCGTGGCCCCTTCTCACAGGCCCAGACTGGGGCATCTGAAATGGGTGGGGAGGGCCTTGTCTGCTCTGGCTCTTGTTTCTGTCCCCGCACCCTGAGGTGGGGGCGATGTGTAAGGAGGGGCTGCCTCCTGCTTCCTCTGGGTCCAGCTCCTCGGTAGTGGGGGTAGGGAGAATGGGACAGCTGAGGGAGACAGCTGTCTGTAAAGGGGGTGGGCCTGACCCCGGTCCCCGTTTGGTCCTGTCTGCCACCAGTGACCTCCGTTGACGTGGTAGGCTCCGTGCAGGTGTGTGCATCCCCCCCACTCCCGCCCCCGCCTGGCCCGGGCGGCACTTAGCCTCGGGCCGCTGGTGACGGAGGCGCTCTGTGAGCGGTAGTGCCCTGGGCTCGCTCTCACGGTGGGGCGTACACACACGTGCTATCTCCCGCACCCTCAGCGTAACCATTGTGCTCTTTCCTGTGGAGTCATGGGACCTGCCAGGGTCCTTTCCTCTGCCCCCCAAGGGCCACAGGGAACTGAGCACCTGCACCATAGTCCTGACGCTGTTCCAGCCCGGCCCTAGAAATTTCCTTGTAGGAAGTAGATACCGTATAGTACTCCCGTGCCACCAGCCCTGGGATGTGAGGTGTCAGGTTCAGCCGAGAATTCCCCGACCTGGTGGCCTGTGGCTCCCGCAGCACGTCTGGCATTCAGCCAGGACGGGAGACACGAGTCTCCCGTTACTGCGTACAGGCACCTCTAAGTCTGGCTGAGTGTCGCCCTGCCCACCCGTCTGCCTTGGAAAGCAGGAGGGGCCGCCCTCCCTTCACAGAGCTCGTCCTGAACACTGACGGGCTCCTGGTCTTCCTGTCACGTGGGCTGGGAAACCGGCTGGGGGCCGGGGTGTGGCCGAGGCCTTTCTCGTGTGACGCCCAGAAGGAGGTATCTGGTCCCAACTGTTGAGGTTCTTTTTAAAATATGGGGTGTTGGGGGAGCCCGGGCGGCTTAGTCTGTCAAGTGTCTGGCTCAGGTCGTGACCTCATGGTTCGTGAATTTGAGCCCCACGTCGGGCTCCGCACTGAGTGTGGAGTCCGCTTGGCTCGCTCTCTCTCTCTCTCTCTCTCTCTCTCTCTCTGCCTCCCTCCTCCTGCTCAGGCGGAATCCACTCTCCTCATGGATAAACGAACTTGTAAAAAATAAATAAGTACGGGTCACCGGTCACTTCCCTCCCCCTGTTGACCTCTGGCACAGGCACAGGTCTTTCCTCCTGTTCCTGAGCCTGTAACGGCTTTGGGCAACAGGACGCTCCCACGCCCCCCCAGGCTTGCTGTCCCTTCCGCTGCCTTCCCTTCTCACGCGTCCCATCTGGTATTAGCACCTGAGGTTGTGGGAGGCGCGCTGCTGGCAGCCAGGAGGATCACCAGGCGTAAGGTTCTCGGTTGCATCAGATTTTTGTTGAAAACGTCTATTAAAATGAATAACGGATAAACGAGTTGGAAACTTGAGGGTGGACGATCGAGGTAAGGATTGACCCAATGGGCTTTATGTTAGATTTTTTTTTTTTTTTTTTTTTAATTTTTTTTTTCAACGTTTTTTTTTTTGGAACAGAGAGATGAGCATGAACGGGGAGGGGCAGAGAGAGAGAGAGAGCATTACAGAACAGGTCTGCCCCAGCCGGCCCAGGAGCTCGATGCTGGGCTCCAACTCACGGACCGCTGGAGATCGCATTCCGCTGGAAGTCGATTTTAACCGACTGCGCCACCCAGGCGCCCCAGGGGTTGTTAGATTTCTGATAACGATGTTATTGGCCTTTTGAAAATTCTCCTTTTAACCGTAGCCACATGTGTCGTTGACTTTGTTATTTTAGATTAAAATGATCTTGGCAAAAAAAAATTTCAAGCATTTCCGGTTTTATGCTCTGCTTGAGAAAGTAGGGACAACGTGGTGCTGCGTCTCGTCCAGAAACGCGGGTAGTTGGGGGCCGGGCGTCCCTCCCTCTGCGCCCGGTGGGCGTACAGGGGGCGGCGGGATGTGGCTGCAGAGTCGGGGTGCACGCGCGGGGGTGCTGGTGCACTTGGGGCGGTTGGGGGGACGCTGGGACGAGGTGAGTGTGCCTGCGGACTCGGGGGTAGATCCAGACCCGTGACGGGGTGCGGCGGGCCCATAGGGCTTCGGGGGCGAGAGAGGGTGTTTGTGCAGGGCCCACGGACACAGGCGAAGCGGGCTGCTTTGTCAGTGCGAGCACGCCCTTTGGCAGAGAAATGGTTGTAAAAACCAGTAGGAAGATTCTCCGGCAGCGATCAGATGGAGGAGAAGGGCGCTTTTGAGATGAAAGAGTTTTGGGGCACCCGGGGGCTCAGTTGTTTGATTTCAGCTCGGGTCAGGATCTCACGGTCCTTGGGACCGAGCCCCGAGTCCGGCTCTGGGAGGATGGGGAACCTGCTTGGGATTTTGTCTCTCTCGGCCCCTCCCCCACTCTGCATGCGCACTCCGTCCCTCTCTCTCAAAACTTTGAACGTTGTTAAAAAAAAAAGAAAAGAATTTTAAGTGCGGGCTCTGTGCTCTTCTGTTCGCCAGGATCTACTCTCTCCGTGAGCCTCAGACACCCGTCAAGGTCATTGTGCTTTCAGAAGCGGAAGAGGAGAGCCTGATACTCAATAAAGGGTGAGTTATTTGTGTCACAAAATAGTTCGTTTATTGGGCTCGTAAGTGCAGTTTTAACAGAGATTATAAGGTTTTCCAGCGGTGACCACACTGCCGGGGACCTGAGGAGTGAGCAGAAGTGGGTGGCAGGACAGAGTGGCTGAGGGTCACTATCGCTGCCAGCTGCTCCCTTCTTGAGAAGGTTCTAGAATGACTGCCTGGCACGGGCTCCCTCCTGTGTCCTGACAGAGGCGATAAGTTATGCCATGGCAGAGGTTCAAGGTCAGAGTGTCGGGCCGCCCGCCTCCCAGACCGTGTACACCCAGAACCTGGAGAGGAAGAGGGAGCCCTTCTGACTCCGGCGCCCGCCCCCCCACCCCCCACAGGGGCACGCTCCAGGCTCCCCAACCACCAGCGGTCACCCTTGGAACTCACAAACCCCATCCCTCTGGCCTCCTGACCAGTCTTTCTGGTGATGACCACACAGGACCGCCCACAGCCTGTGCACGTAGAGTGACGCTTTTAGTAGCTGTATTTTTAGAAGTTCCATTTGGTTCTTTCCACGTCTCCGTGGCGGTCGTCTCTAGTAGTCGTGTTTATTCCTGTTTTCCCAACTCTTCGTCCTCTGACTGCTTCCCACGTAGCTCTTCGGTGTGTGAACAGCGCGGTGGGGCGGGGGCAGCGGGGGTCTAGATCTGTACTGCCCTTGCCCCTGACCCACAGTCCCCGCCTCGCCCCGTGATTGCTGATCTCGGGCTGTGAACTTACATTTATTGGATCTTAACGTTTGGGAACGTGGAGAGCCCGCGCTGGCGCCCAGTCCCAGGGTGCCGCTGACCTGGGGCCGATTTCACTCTCCGGGAGAGTCTCAGGGTGAGCGTTTCAGCTCAGCGATGTCAGTGTCGGGCAGTCGCTTCTTAAATTAAAGCTTCCACCCCCGCGTGGCAGGTACCGGCCTCCGGGACTCGGCAGGTCCCCCCCACCCCTGGGGTCGGGCACCTTCCCTGCCCGCACACTTGTTCCGAGCTCCAGGCCCCGGGTTCTGATCTCCGCCCTGCCGTGTGTTCACTGTGGCGCACGCCGGCCGTTCAGCGGCCCCGAGCCTCGTGTCCATGACTGTGTTCCGTGAATATAAAGTAGAATCACGGCACTTTCTACTAGGATCGCCGTACGGGATGGACGAGGTGATGCATAAAAGTGCGTAGCCTGGGTCCTGGCACGGGGTTGGCACTCACTCATCAACACCTGCTGTCATCATGGGGAACACGCCTGCATTTATTAAGCTCCTGGTAACTTTTGACGGCCAGAGGTCACTTGAAGTCTCTCTGACTTCCATGTCTGTTGTCCCTTCGTTGTCCTGGTCATTAGTTGAACGCAGGCTGTTCTTTTGTTCTGATTTGGGGCTTCCTCATTTTTTTTCCCTGCCTCCTGACACCATATACCTTTCCACGCGGTAAACTCACGCGTGGTGGTTGCAGCACAACAAAGTGACATTGCTCCTCCAACCATATAAGTTCGTTCTACCCGCACTTAGTAACCCTGTATTGAACTGGAGTCTCCTCGGATAACCCGTCGTACTGAACTTTAAAATACGAAGTCGTGTGTTTCGTCATTTGTTTTTCTTGATGATAAAGATAATATGTGTTTATTGTAGAAAATTGGGGAAACCTACAGAAAAATATTAAGAAAAAGAAATCTTTGTCATCTCCTATAGTTTCTCCTTGACGTGGCAGCCAGAGTGACACTTTGGGTATAAAGCAGGTCATTCCATCCTATTCTTTTTTTTTTTCAACGTTTACTTATTTTTGAGGGAGAGAAAGAGCACAAGTAGAGGAGGGACAGAGAGAGACGGAGACACAGAATCTGAAGCGGGCTCCAGGCCCTGAGCTGTCAGCACAGAGCCCTAAGTGGGGCTTGAATTCACGAACTGTGAGATCATGACCTGAGCCGAAGTCAGACGCTGAACCGACTGAGCCCCCCAGGCGCCCTTCATTCTGCTTTATTCTTGACCGCAACCCACAGGATGTCCCCTCCAGTTTCTTTCTCCCTCTGTGTCCCGGTTCTGAGCTCGGCCTCCTCGCTGTTCATTCCTCAGACAACATGCACCCCCTGCCCATGTGGCCGCTGACGCCTCCCCTCCTTCCTTTGAATCCGTGCTCAGACATCACCGCGTCAGGGTCCTTCCCAGGCAGCCCAGCCCGAGGCAGCCCCCCTCCCCAACTTCATTTTTCTTGACAATGTCATTTTCTGGCTTTGTGCTGCGTGTTCCTTTCTGCGTGTGCCCTGCGTGTCTCCCTGGAGGGCGGGGCCTTGGTTGAAGTCACTGGTGGGTCCCCAGCACCCTGTAACAGCGTGGGGCCCGGGACGTGGGGCCGATGCGAAGGAGATACTTGTGGAGTGAACGTGTCCCTCTGCTCAGCGTTTGCTTCCTGTCTCTCTGTGTGTGCGTGTATCTGTCCTGTCTGCGTGTCAATATGCTTAAACTAAGAGGAAACGGGGTATAATTTCGTGTTTCTGTCGTTTAATTGTGCTCTATTTTGTGTCCTCCGTCGAGTGCAAACTCCATCCCCATCTCCTGTTAGCAGACGTTTCGTTTTCATTCTTGTTTTTGACCCATCGGTTTTTAAATGTCTTTTTAGAAGGGCATACACTGCATCTCTGGGCGAGACAGCGGTGGCGTTTGACTTCGGGCCATTGTCAGCGGTCCCGAAGACCATGTTTGGACAGAAAGGCAAAGGTGACATAGTGGGGTACCCGCTGTACATCTTGTACGAGAACGGAGAGACCTTCCTCACGTACGTCAGTCTGATTCACAGGTGAGTGGGGGGGTGCCATCCACGGATGCCCCTCGTGGACCGGCCCGGCCAGACTGGGGTCCGTGGGTGGGTGTCCCGTCTCTTGACGTGTGGCAGCCTCTTGATGCTTGCTTTGCATATCTTGGGGAAAGATGCGTACAGACCGTGTAACCTTTGGTTGCCTCGTATTATTTGGGTCGGTTCTGTAACGTTCTTAGATAATCACCGAAGACTGGATTTGTTTTCACGAAGTCTAAAGCACAAAAGTGTCGTGCATCTCGTGTGAGCCAGGCACTGAGAGGGCAGCTAGTGGTGGGGACCTGCGCCCTGGTTGTGAGTCCCCAGACCACGCACGGTGCACGGGCGGGAGGACCCAGAGGAAGGAGAGCGTGCCGCGACTGAAGAAGTCGGGGAGGTTTTCGTGGACAGGGACTGACCTCTAATGAGGATTAACTGAAGGTCAGGGAAGGGCATGACTGCTTTAGTCCCCAGGGCGTGTGTCTCTCGCGGCTCAGTGGTCAGGCTCTCGTGGCTGGAGCCGTGGTTTCGGCTGCGGAGCGTTACGTGGTAAAGCCGGAAGTATCTGCCCGGGGGGAAATTGGGGAACGTGGGGTCTTTTCCGTAGGAATAGGGTGGTGGGAAGCCAGTGATGGTTTCTAAACAGAAGGACAAAGCAGACGGTTAGGGACAGAGAGACCCTCTCTGGGGCAGAGAGACATTTGGAGACGCTGCTGCAGACGTTAGGTGACCGTCTACGGGATCGGAACGGGGGCCGTTCCGAAGCAGGGGCAGAAGCGGACACGCTTCCTACGGAGGAAGGGTCCGTAAGACTCCGTTCCTGGTCGGGTTAGGGGGTGAGCCGTGAAGACAAAACTGGGGTCAGGAGGGGCGGCTAGTGGGGGTTGTTATTACAGGTGGTCAGTTGGACAGGGTAGTGGGCTCATAAAGTGGAAACGGTCCGTGGACATTTGGAACTAGGGGACCAGACAGAGAGGATCACCAGTCCGGGTGATGGTCGCAGGCAGGAGAGGGTGAGGATCCTGGGCCCGTTTGTAACCCGAAAGGCGTGAGGCCAGAGGATAACGGACTTGATTCATTTATGAGTCGTCTGGCCCCCTATGAAGTCAGGCCCCCCCCCCCCCCCCCCCCCCCCAGCGGCAGGTGTGAGTCCTAGGCCTCAGGCGCTGCAAGAGGGAGGGGTGAGCTGGGGGGAGGAGGGTGGCCCCTGGCATCCGAGCTCAGGCTGAGGGATCCGCTGGGTCCCTGCAGGAGCAGAATCACAAAGGGGAGAAACGGGGACCTCCGCGGTTGCCGCGGGCGGGGACTCCCTCTCAGCCGCATCCGCCTCCACCTGAACATCCCCTGCTCGGAGTTGGCCGTCGTGGTAACGCTGTCGCCTCCCTCCGCCCACGGCCGGCACCCACCTATCCACATCTCATCACCTGGTCGCCTTCTGCAGCCTCTCGGGTCCAGCCCAGCCCCACATTCTGTTGCCCTTAACCACGAAAACTCCCTGAGCGGCAACCCCCTTCTCCGTCCTGCTGTCCTTGCTTCAGACCCTCATCTCCTGCCCAGACCCTCGTCCCCTTCGGTCGCTGCCCTAAACCCCATCTCAGTTCCCTCAGTGTCACCCCCTCACTACTGTCAGACTGATCTTAGGAAAGTGAAGCTCTGTCCCTCTTCACATGAACCTCTGCTGACGCTGTCGCCCGGCAGGGAGGCTCTGAGGGCCTTGACGTGGCCTGCTGACTTGTCTTCTGTTGTCTTAGAAAGCCAAGTCTCCTTCCTGCCGGTCCTTGTCGTTCATGCTTCCAGAACTTTCCAGAGCTGCTCCTTAGCTTGGAAGGTTCACCACCCCTTCCCAGAATATACTTTCCCATTGATCTTTTTTTTTTTTTTTAATGTTTATTCGTTTATTTTGAGAGAGAGCAAGCAGACGAGGGGCAGAGAGGGAGGGAGAGAGGGAGAATCCCCAGCAGGGTCCACACTGTCAGCACAGAGCCTGACGAACCTTGGGATTGTGACCTGAGCCAAAATCCAGAGTCACACGTTCAACCTTCTCCGCGCCCCCGGGCTTACTTGTGTTTGACGCCTTTCTTACCTCACTCTCTCTATACCTGGTTCGTTCTCGCATTGTCGAACTTAGCACGTGGTCTTGTAATTCTGGACAAACGTGAGTTTGACCGACATCACCGGTTCCTGGGGGTGTCACCCAGCACCCAGTCACTGTAGCTCTAATCCAGTTAAATACTGGGTCCCAGGCCCCGAAGAGCAGTTCCGTTTTGGGAGAAAGTACAGGCTGTCCATAGTAGTTCCGGCCAGGCGTGGCTCGGTGTGCCCTCGCGTGAGTGTGTGCTGTGAAGCCAAGAGGGCTTGTAACAAGATGCTGGGGAGCGCCAGTATTTTCAAGCCAGAAGTGAGAGAGGGGTGTCCGGAGGGGCCCGAAGAGAGCCAGGAGACCGGAGTGCACGAGTGAAGGATGCGGGAGGCAGCTGTGAGCCCACAGTAAATGCAGCAGCACGTCGGGTTGGTGGCCCGTGGACTTAGCAGCTGGGAGCTCTCCTCTGGCCTTTGCAGGAGCGCGGCCTCGCTGGGGTGAGGGAGGCTGGAGCCAGAGTGAGCAGGGGGCACGGCCTCTGGGCCCCTGCCCCGGGGACTCTGCGCTGAGCGACTGCTGCGGAGGCATCCTGGGGGGCGGGGCAGTGTTGAGCCGCATCTCTGCTCTGGACACCAGTAAGCACCCTCCCGCCCCCACCTCCCTGGTCGTGACAACCAGAAATGTCTTCAGACGTTGTCAGCGTCCCCTTGCGCACAAAGTTACCTCCAGTTGAGAGGCACCAGGGAGACAGAAGTCCAGGGGAAAGTGAGACGTGGAGACATCAGGAGTACCGGTGCCATGGAATTTTCTGTTTCTGTTTTTTCTTAAAGCTTCTGGTTTCTTTTCTTTTCTTTTTTCTTTTTCTTTCTTTCTTTCTTTCTTTCTTTCTTTCTTTCTTTCTTTCTTTCTTTCTTTCTTTCTTTCTTTTCCTTCCTTCCTTCCTTCCTTCCTTCCTTCCTTCCTTCCTTCCCTCTCTCTCTCTCTCTCTTTCTTTCTTTCTTTCTTTCTTTCTTTCTTTCTTTCTTTTTTTCTTTTCTCTCTCTCTCTCTCTCTCTCTCTCTCTCTTTCTTTTTTCTGTGTCTACCTCTGAGAAAGTGGAGGAGGGGGAGGGAGAGAGAGAGGATCCCAAGCAGGCTTTGCACTGTCAGCCTAGAGCCCGATGTGGGGCTCAGTCCTACGAACCTCAAGATCACGACCTGAGCCAAAATCAAGAGTCAGACACTCAACCGACTGAGGCATCCAGGTGCCCCCGTGGCACTGTGTTTTCAGTTGGGGCCCGGCAGCTGCAGAAAAGGGATCGCGGTGGCGTGGTTGTCTTCCGTCAACCTGTCCGAGTATGTTTTCCCTCTTCCCTCAGCCCCGGGACCGTCGGGAAGCTGCTAGGCCCGCTGCCCATGCACCCCGCGGCAGAGGACAACTACGGCTATGACGCCTGTGCTATCCTCTGCTTACCCTGTGTCCCCAACATCCTGGTGATCGCCACGGAGTCGGGCATGCTGTACCACTGCGTCGTGCTGGAAGGGGAGGAGGAAGACGAGCAGACGGTGAGCCAGGCCCGTGTCTGCGTTCGCGTCTCCGGCGCCGTGTGTGGTTCCCGGGCCGGCGAGAACGCTCAGGACGCTAGGATTTTCCTTTATGTCTGGCACCTCTGTGTCGTTTGGAAATCAGACACCTAGCGTTAGGTGAAGCCCACCTAAAAGTCCACGTGGCGAGACGTTAGAAGGCGCCCACGTGCTCTGTCCACGCTCGGAGTGGCGGGCTTCAGTGACCTCAATGACAGATACAGAGAACCCACGAATCGCTAAACTGGCTCTTCTCAACTCGATTCACGACCTTCCAAAAGGAGGGAGGCCTTTTTTCCCTCTTTTGAGAACATTAAGGCCCTGGTGAAAGGGGTGGAATTAAGGAGAAATTTCTTCTGTTCCGAACCGTGTGCATTTTCATACGAGCGTGAAGCCTGAAACTGCCGGTTCTCTTACAGTCGGAGACGTCCTGGGACCCCAGGGCCGACCTCGTCCCCTCCCTGTACGTGTTCGAGTGCGTGGAGCTGGAGCTCGCCCTGAAGCTGGCGTCCGGAGAGGATGACCCCTTTGATTCTGACTTCTCTTGTCCCATCAGACTTCACAGAGGTAATGTACTGGTGGAGTTTACTCCTGTCCCGTCCTGTTTCCACGGAGACGGTCACAGGCCATTCCCGGGCACCTTGGTTTGGGGCCCAGCTGTGCAAAGCCAGCCGCGTTCCGTGGCTTCAGTCACCGCACTGCACTTGGGTCCAGGAAAGGCTGGGTGTGTTTCCCACATTTTAAGATCGTGGTCTGTGGTCTGTGGTCTGGATCCCCCTGGAGTCAGAATAGTGAACTCTTCCCGGTCCACTCAAAAGTTGGCTTCGTGATTCAACTACTTAAACGTATGCAAATAAACTTTAAAACGAACTTTAAAAATCAAACGATAACACGCTCACATTAAGATGGCTCTCTAAAGCCTCTTTCTTCGCTTTACTTGTTAGCCCCAGAACCAGTTTGAATGTTGTCCTTTTTATCTTTTCATTTTATTTTAACTTACCTGGGTTGGTATCTTTCCGGCAACTTACCTCTGTTCGTCCAGGGAGCTTTTGAGTAGATGCTGAGTCGGCGGAAGCCCGTGTTGTTGAGACGCCGCGGGGCTGAGTGGAAGGAGCCTGGCGCGTGCTGGGCTTCGCTCGTAGTTGTGACGACGTCAGGCATTCGGTCAGCCCCCCTGCTGTCTGTTTTCTCATCTGGAAGCGGTAGGGGTGACATCCGATGACCTCTGGGGTTCCTCTGACACGAGACCCTGTGACCCTGTGCCCTCCCACCACGCCTCGGAGCCTCCTGTCGGTTTCCTGGGCCCGGTGCAGAGAGAGGGGGGCTCGCCTCTGCCTGGAGGTGGTCCGGCTGTGCGCCTGGTACGGCACAGTCAGGGGTCGTAGTTCCTGCGCAGCAGACTGGCGTAGGGAGCTCACCGAGCGTGTCTCGCGGAGCCGTATCCACAGAGGTGTAGTCTGTGTGGTCTCTGAACTTCGCTTTAGGGCTGAGGAGACCGAGACCCAGTGACGTAGGCGACAAATTCACTGGTTTCCTTATGAAGGTACATAATGTCTTTGGGAAATCTTTTTTTTTTTTTATTTTGAGAGCGAGCACATACGTGCGCAAGTGGGATAGGGGCAGAGAGAAAATCCCAGACAGGCTCCAGCTTTCAGCACAGAGCCCGACGCGGGGCTCAAGCTCACCAACTGGGAGACCATGACCTGAGCAGATGTCTGACACTTAACCCGCTGACCCACCCCGGCGCCCCTCTTTGGGAAATCTTAAACATAGGCATTTTTATCTTCTAATGAGAGTTAATTATTTTCACATCTGTGAAACTAATAAACCGACCTGTTCGTGTTTTTATTTAGGGCACCTTCCAATCATTGAAATATGCCCAGATTTTTATTGACATGAGTGGATGACCACCATGTGACAGGGACGCCTGGCAAATTCCTACTTCAGTTACTAACGTTGCCTTTTTCTGTAACAGATTTCTCTTACTTCCCAATATTGAGGTTTTTCTATTAATGTCAGCACCACAGGCACATCTCGAAAAGTCGTTGGAAACAGTAGTAGACCTAATGAGAGGATTTGAACCTGAACGAGCAGCAAGTGTGGGCAGAAAAAAGGAAACTTTTTAATATTTTATTGTTCAGAGAGAGGATCTCCATAGACCAGGAGTTTTAAAACTCTTCGTGGCACAATGCTGTTTTCAGAACCCCGATGTGTAAAATAGAAAAGAAAAACTAGTATTTGCTTTACGATATTTATGAACCACAAAGTTAAAGTGAGGCTCTTAGAAGGAAGGGAGTTTCATTTAGGGGTTTATGGATGACAGTTGCATCTTAAATTAGCTTTCGCGTGTAAATTATTTCTGTATCTTGTTTTGGTCGCTTAATGTTTTAGAAGTACTGAGTCACAGAGATAAATATTCAGAAGTAAAGTGTCCAGAACTCATCTTTTAGTCTCATGTAGTCTCGCTAATACTAGGGGTCAAGAGAAGTATAGAAGTTTTCATTAAAATTCCATGACGGTTCCTCGTATTTCTTCGTACGAATATAAAGGACTGTCGGGGCGCCCGAGTGGGTCGGTCAGTTAAGCGTCTGTCTCTTGATTTTGGTTGAGGTCGTGATCCCAGGGTCGTGGGATCGAGCCCCCTGTTGGGCTCTGTGCTGAACTTGGAGACTGCTTGGGATTCTCCTCCTCCCTTTCCTCCCACATCCCCCTCCTTGCCAGTGCTCTCGCGTGTGTGCTCGCTCCCTCTCGCCGCCTCTAGAATGAATGAGTGAATGTCAAACAGAATTATAGCAAGGAAAAAAATTTACTTGGGGTGCCTGGCTGGCTTGATCGGAAGAGCATGGGACTTTTGGTTCAGGGTTGTGAGTTCGAGCCCCGCGTTGGGAGTAAAGGTTACTTAAGGGGAAAAAAAGAGAATCGTATCCAAACTTGAACGTAAAGACTGTAAGTCCGCGTTATCAAGACAAGTAAGACTTGGCATTTCCCAGCTGCCTGGACGCACCGTGACGACAGTTCGCCCCGCGGCCGGGCCTCTGACCCGCTCGTGCGCTTGCTTGCACAGGTTCGCGTGGGTCGGTGATGCCGGCACAGGTGTTGTCCGGAGCCGTGACTTTCTCAGGCACCGTGTTGTCCTGAGAACGAGAGCTATAAATGCGTGTGCTGAGGGGGACGGACAGGTAGCCGGTGGTGGTGTTTTGCTGAACTCTCCTGTGAAGGTTTAGAAGTGACGTTTGGGTTGTGTTCATGACTTTGAAAAATACTTCAAATACATTTGAAAGTTGAATTCCAGTTTTAAAACGTCAGATCCCTGCTGTGGTAGCATCGCGTGCAGGTCCCGTCACCTTCTGTCACTTCGTGGACCGGTGCGTTTGCGGGCTGCCGGGGTAGGTGCCTAAGACCCATTTTCTAACGCGGCCTGTACTCCGTTCGTGACTCCGTTTGCAGATCCCAAGTGTCCCTCGAGGTACCACTGCACTCACGAAGCCGGCGTCCACAGTGTCGGGCTGACTTGGATTCATAAGCTTCACAAATTTCTCGGGTCAGGTGAGTCCCCTGAGCCTTTTGGTATGTTTCCCAGATTCTGTCAAAAAGTCGTTTGCAGTGGAAAAATAATAGAGAAAATCAGTGAAACCAAAGACTATCACTGGAAAACGTCAACAAGACGGACAGACCTTTGGCGAGACTAACCCCACAAGGAGACGCTACCGCTGACCTCATGGTGACGGTGTTCAAGGTTATGACGGGGAACCGTGAACAGCTCCGCGCCACATAGGGCCCCAAGGCGAGATGGACTTGTCCCTAGGAAGACAGACTACCGACACCGACTCAAAAACCAGTACGTGAGCACAGACCTATAACCAGTGAAGAGATCGAAACAACGATCAACTACCCGAAGAGATAAGCTCAGGACAGTGAGCTCTAAAAGTTCCGCATTTAAAGAAACCAGTTCTCGACAGGCTCTTCCAAAAACAGAAGGGAGAGGAAGCACCCCCCCCGCCTCGCTCGTGGAGGTCACTGCTCCCCCGACACCAACATGAGACAGGTGTGCAAGGACAGGAAACCGCAGACACACACCCCTCACGAATACAGATGCAAAAAATCCTCAACAGAACGCTTGCAAACCGAATCCAGTGACGGACAAAAAGGACGGCGGCCCAGGACTCCGTGGGATTTATCCCGGGAACGCGAGGTTGGATTCACATCCAGAAATCCATCAGCGTAGGACGCCGCACGAGTAGAGGACATAAGCTGCATCATCGTCTCAGCAGACAGAAGAGGCGTCTAAGGAGAGGCAGCCTTTCTTGGTCCCGACACTCAGCAAACGAGTAATGACAAGTTCCTCAGGCTGCTCGGGCATCTACGGAAGACCCACAGACAGCCCCGTGTTTGATGGGCAAGGGCCCAGGTGTCTTCCTTAGCTGTCTTTTGCTGCTGTGAGAAGTCACCGCGAACTCAGCGGGCCGCAACAGTGCGGATTTATTACCTCACAGCTCTCTAGGTTAGGGGTGCTGGGAGGGCCTCCCTTTCTGGAGACTCTGGGAGAGACCCCATCCCTAGCCTTGTCCAGTCTCCCCGGCCTTCCCTTGCCCAGAGTCCCCTTCCTCCGGCTGCGAAGTTAGCAGGGGGCGCGGGGGCGAGTAGAGTCCTTCTCTCCTTTTCTGCTTCCCTCTTTCCCTCTTAAGGAAGCTTGTCACAGCATCGGGCCCACCCGGATAATCCAGAATAATCTATCTTTGAGACCTCGACGAGCAGCGCTCATTCCATCCGCGGCCTCTCTTCCTCTTTGCCTGTGGCCTGACGATTCATAGGTTCGGGGGACTTGGGTACAGGCCCCGTTGGGGAGTCCGTTGTTCTGTCTAGTCTGTTGCAACCCGTGGCCTCCAAAGATTCACACCTGACCCACGTGCCAAATACACCGACCGTAGCGTCGTTATAGCAACGCGGACATCAGAGGCTCCTCTAAATCTCGTGAGCTCACACGTCCCCAGTCCTACCTGAATCTTCTATGTCATCCAACTCAGATATGTAAAGACTCTATCCTGGGGCAGAATTCCTCTCCCTGGACCTTGAAACTAGAAAACAAGTTCTCTGTTCCCAGACCACAGTGGTGGGACAGGCATACGTATCATTTCCAGACATTTCAGGTCAGAAGGGGAGAAAATGGAAAGGAAACCGCAGCCACGGGTCCTACGCGGTTTCAGAACTCAAATTCTAGTAGGTTTCAAGGCTTGGCGATAGTCCCCCGGGCTGGCACTGTTGCCCTCTGAGTAAACCTTCATCTTTTCCAGAAAGGTAGCACTTACCTATGGTAGAGTGGTTTATTACCCAGCTTTCTGCCTGCAGAATTTTGGGGGTGGAACAGCCTTTTCTCATCATCTCCGTGACCCTTTCAGTCTGAGGCAAGCAGCGTTTATGTGGCTACAAATTCTGAAGAACCTTTTTGGGTCCCCTTGTGTATATCGCAAGAAGTCCATTCACCCACAGGCCTTTCCAGGGGGATCCTGTCTCTATTTTGGGTTCTCCTCATGTGGCCACAGGATCAGTCACGCTCCTAATCTCTTCGGAGAGCCCTTGTGTGACTGGACGTTTAGACCTTTTGATCTTTCTGAGGTATGAGTACATCAGTGGCTTTTTCCTCTAAAACATGATGTCCTAACAGTGAATCTCTTAATTTTAGCATCTTTTGCCGTTCAGATAGGTGGACAATTTCCTAACTCATCAAATCTTTGGGGTTTTTGTAAAAACCCAGTTGTATTTTTTCTGACATTTTACTGCGATTGGCCCAATGAAACCAGGACACGTGGCCAGGGTTTTGCTTGGAAACCTCAGCTGAATGTCCAGTTGAATTGTTTACACGTCTGCCTCCCACACGTTCCCCTCAAGATCCAAGAGGACACCGCTCCTGCCGCTTGCATTCAACGTAATGGAGGTGCCAGGCAAGGAAATTCGCCAAGAAAGTGAAATAAAAGGCATCAGGATTAGAAAGGAAGAACGAAAACGCTCTTCTCTAAAAACACGATCTTTTACATAGTGAGTCATAGGACACCCGTTGGAAAAGGATCTATACCAATAAGTGAGTCCAGAGTGGTTGCAGAACCCAGGAGCAGTGTACAAGTATCAGTTCTGTTTCTGCGCACTAGTAGTAACCCAAAAGGAAATTAAGGAAATGATCCCGTTGCAATAGCATCAAAACACACAAAATAAGACTTAACTTTAACGAGAGTATAAAACATACACTTGTTAGACTGTAAAACGTAACTGAAAGATATAAACCTCCCATGTTCGTGGATCAGAAAAGTTAATACCGTTAAATGGCAGTCTTCCCCAGATCGATGTGCAGATCCGGTGCCAGCCTGTCAGAATTCTAGCTAGCTTTGCACAAATGGACGGGCTGACCCTAAAATTCATTTGGGATTCTACAGACCTAGAATAGCGCAAACAGTCTTGACACACAAGAACAAAGTTGCAGGACCCACACTTCCCTATTTCAAGGCTCCTTACAGAAGGTACACTGTACGCCAATCCAGTGTGATGCTGACACAAGCATACACGTGTAGGTTGACGGCATGGGACCGGGAGTCCAGTTGGTTTCCACGAGGGTGCCAGGACACATCAGCGTGGAAAGAAGAGTCTTTTTAAGACGCGGTGCTGGGACCAGGGTGCGTGTACACACACGAGAATGAAATTGGACCCCTGCCTCACACCATAACAAAAATGACTCAAAAGGGATCAAAGACCTGAAAATAAGACCTAACCCTGTAGAACTCTCAGAAGAAAACACGATTACAAGAGTGCAAAGGTAGTCCTCGGAATGGGAGTGAATATTTGCAAATCGTGTCCGGTCACAGACTTGAGTCTAGAACGTGAAAGAACTCTTAGAACTCAGTAATCAGTTAAAGAGCCCAATTTGAAAAACGGACAAAGGAGTTGAATAGAGATTGTTCCTTTGATGAGGTACAGAGAGTTAAGTCCACGAAAACGTTCAGCATCATTGGTCGTGAAACAAGATGCCACAAAACCACTTTATGCCCATTAAAGCAGCTAAAAGCAAAGATGACAGTAACCAGTGTTGTCGGTGCGGTGTTTATGGAAACGTAAGACGTCCCAGCCCTTTGGGCAAACGGTGTGGCGGTTCCTCGGGTGATCAAACCTCCAGTTACGGCGTGACCTCTGCCCAGCGCACACCCACGAGAAGTGGGCACGTACGTCCACACGAACACTTGTAAACGAATGTTCACAGCAGCATTACTCCTCAGAGCCAGACGATCACCCCGAGTACACAGCCATCTATCCGACGGCATATCGTGCAACACGGATGGGCCCGAAAACGTGCTGAGTGAGTGGAGGCAGCCAGGCCCAGACAAGGACACGTGTGATGCGATTTACGTGACGTGTGCAGGGTGGGCAGCTCCGCAGGGACAAAGCGGATTGGTGGTGGCCGCCTGGGGCCAGGCCAGCGGCAGAGCCAAGGGTTCCTTCTGG